AAGTTGATTTTAAGAAAAATATTATATTTATGTAATACATATTTAATAAATTTATAAATTTAAAAGAAAGAACAAATTTATCAATTAACACTCTATTTTCAACCCATTATTCCATTATTGCCAGACACGTAAATGTCTAAGAGAAAAACGGATTACAAATTTAAATTTACTAGAACCAAATTATACTAAATCCTCTTTTAAGACTCTTTTAAGTCTTTATTTTTGTTGCACAGTGTTATCAACCCATCGGTACTATGTATATTACATAGATATTATTAACACCCAGATGTCTGGGAAAAAACGGGTTGCAAATTTAAATGTAGCAGACCTAAACTAAACGAAATCCATCGAAAAAAATTTTTCAAGTATTTAATTTTTATCGCACATCGGTACTATGTATATAGAGATCGATACCATTAACACTTATTGAGATACGATCACTTAAAAAACACAAGATACATATATTGACGCATACAAAAGTTATGTCCCAGAATTAAATATTGTAGTACAATAAAGAATATCAATTTAACTAATATATAAATACTTCAATTTCAAGTGACTATAGAAAATTGTAACTGAATTGGATAAATGAACTATTGTATTGTTTTATTTTATTATTAAAATCGTTTATACAATTAAATGTATAACAAAACTATGATTGTTTTGAAAAGTTAATATTAATCTATACTGTCTCAATACTGGCAATATATCATTTTATTTCCAATGGATCAGAATCCAGTACAAATGTATCTATTCCTCTATTCTTTAAGTTGGTTTATTGTTTGATCTTAAAAAGTATATTAAAAAAGTTTAAGACACACTTCCTTCCTATCAATATTATATTAAAAAAATCAATATCTACATTTAAATAAAGTTTATTTTGGGTAATTACAAGTGATTTAATTGGACAGCTTACAAACAAAATTCATATAAATCTGTAATTATACTGATACTTCATATAAGCGTAATATACTTTGGTACTGTATTTATAATTTATATCAAACAATATTTATTGATTATATATAAAAAACCAAAAAAAAATATGCAATTCATTTTTTGTAAATTTATGATTGTTTTTATTAATTATATAATTTCATTATAACTCAATTCTTAGTATGTGTTAAAGAACAGCTTAAAATGCATAACTCTGTGAAATAACTTACATACAAACAATATCTCCTCAATATTTATTTGATCGATTTTATATAAAATTTGTAAGATATTTTGTATACAAATAACAATTAATAATAATACCTAAAATTAAATATTTCAAATTGTAGAAAGTCTAACATATATTACTTTTTTTAATTTTAATAAAGCCAAAATCTCAATATTTAAAATTAATTTTTTTTTTTTCAATAAAGCCATTCATACTCCATACAAGAACATAAAATAGTTTAATGAATGAACTGAGTGCGATGCAAATTGTTGCAATTTTTATGCACAATTTTTAATTTTAATAAATGTACGTATGAAAACTGTGTATATATGTATAAAATATATGCAATTATTTTTTACAGTCAATGTAAAAATACAATAATAATGCTTAAATAATTTAATACATATAAATTACAACAACATTATGATTATGTTTTGGTAAAACAAAAAAATAATAATAATAAAAAAGAATATATCATATAATAAATCAATTATTGCAAAAATGCGTTTAAAGCTAAGCGATTTATAATTTAAGGTGGAGCTGCAGCCCATTTAAATGATTCATTGTACTCTCAACTCAATGTGATTGGAGCTGCTCTGGCTTGCTGTTGAAAATTTGCGTCCCAACTTTTGTAGTGAACCAACAGCTAAATAAAAAAAATACAAAATAAACAAAATAAATGTATAAACTTTTAAATGAAAAATAAAAATTAAACAAATATTTTTAAATTAAAAAAGGGAACGTCAATATGTGAAGCTTAAAAAATAGAAAAGTGCAACACTAATAATTTTAATGTATATATAAATATATTAAACTATAATATTATTAAACTATGTTATTATTTTGAATTCATAAAAATACTACATAATAAATTTATGTATTTAATTAAAACATTAAATTTTGATATATCCAATTTGACAAATTGAGCTAATTAGATGTTTTTGATGTATTAATCAATCTTAAAATAGATTATTATTAGTATCTCTAAACTTAATTTCATTTTATATATTTTATATATATATATATTATAATATAATATATATATAATATATATATATATTATATATTTTAATTTTTTGAAAATAAAGCAAAATATTGCGTCATTATTAATTTACAAGTTTATACATAAATAGTTTTTTTAATTTACAATATTATAAGTGATTGTTTTAATTTTAATTTCGCTTTTTATTATTAAATTTATATTGTATTTATTATTGTAATTTATTATAAGTTATTTTAGTATTTTTATCGTTTCAATTTATATATTTATTATTTTTATATATATATTAAAGTTAATATAGAATTTATTGAAGAAAAATATATCTTTAATGTGTTTTTTTAATTTATTATGGAGTTTAAAAATGTTAAAAATGATTCGATTTAGTTAGCTTGAGTTTACCGTTAATATATTTGTTTTTTAAAGAATTTTTTTTTTACATTTATAGTCATTTTCTTTATAAGTATCTCCGATAATCTTTGTGGATTATTTTAAGAATCATAAAAAATTTTAAACAATAAACAGTTTAAAAATTATTAATTCAAAACGAATTTATAGATTTATATATTTTTAAACTACTAAATAATTTTATGAATTCAAAATAATAAACTATAATAGTAAATAGCAAAAAATAAGTTTTTTGTTATAAAAAAGCAGTTGGAAAGTGCTGACTAAATTAATTTTTACCTGCATTTAAAGTATTGTAAAATTGTATTCATATTATATTTATTAAAGATAAAAACTATATTCACACAAGTTTATTAGTCCTTGAACACACTAGCTGCGCTAAAGAATTCACATAGTAAAATAAATGTGCCACTACACGATAAAAAACTTTATTAGTATATAAATATATTTTCAAAATTAAATCCCTCATATTTTTTGATTCATGATTTTTCTAAAAGCATAAATATTTATATTTATATTATAAACAATAAATAATTGTGCCAACAAAATTATTCAGGACACAAAATTTAAATATACATACCACCGTAGCAAGTTTTAGTTTATTTTTAAGAATATTGTTGTATTAAATTGGTTTGTTTTGGTTTGGTTTGGTTTTTTAAGTTCCAATATATCCAATATATCAGTACAATTTAGAGAAAATTTACATATAGATTTTTTTTTTAAATTTTGTTATCGTAAGCAAAATAAAAGAAAAGAAAATTTATTTTTTTAAAATAAATTAATAATCATAATAAATAAATTTAAAATATTATATATAAGTATAAATTATACAAACAACGATTTGAATATGTAGATTATGAGCACATTAATGGATAAGTGGCACAGTAGTAAAGAGGTTACGTGGAGTTTAAAAGAAAATTGTTTTATTTTTTTATTTTTCAATATTTTATATATATTTTATTTGTGATGGTGTCATCAAAATGTGTAGAGTGGGGGAATCAAGAGAAAAAGAAAAGAAAATATTTTTTAGGTCCAATTTAATTTTATTATCTTTTATTTAAAATAAAATGAATTGTTTATGATCTGTTATTTGAATATAGCGCATTTATGTGGAGGACTATGCAGTTAACTAGGGCTAACATCTAGAGAATGTCATATTTTCATTGAATTAAAAAAATTTTAAAATGTCTATAGGTGAAATATAAAATAAAAAATTTTCAAATCATATTTTGAGCTAATACTCTACTAAACTTTAGAAATGCAAATTTTTTGAAATTATTTTAAACAACTTTATTGAAACGAATTTCATGTTAATATATGTATATAAATTTTGTACAAATCTGAGTTATAAGTATAAATACAATATAGTTTCTTATATTAATCAATATAACCTTTTTATGATTAGTTCGTTTTTACCTTCTCTATACAAGCAGTTGTATTTATTTATATATATATTATCAAATTTGTTTTGTTTTACAACTACTTGTATGTAATGTTAAAAAATTTTGCAATAAGCCGATTTCAAGTTTAAATCTTTTAGAAAATTTTATCTCTCTATGCTTATATGCTAATTAATTATATAAATTTTAATTATATCTCTATGACTGCATCCGATAAGTTAACTAAGAGGAGGCATTTTTTTAATATTTTCTGTCAAAACTTTTTATACATAAACAATAATAATTAATTTATTGGTATGTTTTAAAAAATTAATAAAAATATTTATATAAATATTTATATTCTCGTTATTAAACAAAAAAGAAAACAATTTACAAAATTTACTTATTAATTATAAAATAACTTTATATACAAATTTAAAGTGAATACAAATAAAACTTTATAGCCAATTTTTCTCAATTCCAATAAAATTATATTATTAAAAATATAATTAAAAATATTATTTAACATTATTTTAATTATATGTTTGTTACTATATAGTTTTAAAAAAACTTTATTGTTCCTTATTTTTTTTAATCAAATCTAATTATCAGTCAAAAAAAATTAATAAAACGTATATTTTCAACATATAACTAATTTTGCTGAAGTTATAGTTGTTGAAGATACGTTTTAGAAAACTTTATTATTTAAAATTAAAAAATCCAATTAGTTTATATAATAAAACTTTCTTAAAACAGTTTTTAGAGACCATCAAAAAATGTTTAATTTTTTATAGTATTTCCATTTAAAAAAATCCCCCTCTTTTTATAAAACTAAAACAATTTAAATTATTTGTATTTCAAAATTTAAAAATAATAGATAATATAAAACTATTATATACTTTGTATATATCTGTAATGTACTCGCCAAAAAAATGTATATCAATACTACATTGTATGCATATAGGAATATGAGTAAAGAAGGTGCAAAAAGAAAGTATTACACTAATTTGTTTAAATTATGTGCACAATTATGATGCATTAGTACTGGCAGCAGGTACAATAATGAATGCGATACTGGCTATGAATGTTCGTATAATATTTATATGTATATATATTTACATATATATTTATATAAATAAATAATTTTGTTTCTTGTTATGTATTTATAAATTTTTAAATTGAAATCGCTTTGTGTTTTTATGTAAAAATGAAATGTTTTCTACAACTATTTCGATTATATACGAGTATATATTTTTAAAATAATTTTGAGAACAATGCAATATTATCGAATCGCTTAAGTAAGTGTATATGTTTAGTATCTGCAGTTAGTTATGTTGTTTCTAACACTTACCGTAGCCTTCACCCTGCAGGAAAAGACGGAAGGCCTCGGCTAATTTATCTGGTTGTTCCTCTAAAACCATTGCACAATCAGATATCTACATAAAAATAACAAGATATTTCATAATAATATACTATATGTTATACTTGTATATGAAAATACCTTCATCCAGGAAGAGTTTGTAGGATCAAGTCGTCCATTTAGAGTAACCGTATCATCAACATGTGGCGATAAAGCACCTGTTATATTAATAACTGGCATTTTAAGTGTTGCTGTTGATGGTTGTGTTCCTGGAGTACCAGGTGGTGTACGTGCAATATTTAAATCATTTCGATGTATATAAGAATTAATAAACATGGCTAAATTGGTTGGATTCACACCACGTTCAAAATGTTGTTTGTACATTTGTACCAAATCATGATTACGTTCTTCTGGATTACGACCAAAATGGTGCCACATTAAATAGTCTATAACTCCTTGTGTCATGCCTTTGGTACGCAAGAAACGCGCATTAAAACTTTGGTAACCCCACTCTATCCAGCCAGACTGTGTTGATACACAATTAATAAGGCATAGTGCCCCAATTTTATCTGGATGAGCCAATGCAAAGCGAGCCAATATATTAGCACCAGCACCAACACCAAGTCCAATAACAGACTTCAGTCCAAAGTGTGACAACACAAATAGTAGCTGTGATGCCAATTCATCCATTGTAGGGTAAACATAACTAGTAAAGAAAGAACAAAATACATTAATATATTATATTTTAACAAAAAAATTAAAATACAAATCTAAAATCTAGAATTGAATACCCTACGAATTACGACTTTCTTAAACGTTGGTGAATAACAAAAACTTTAAAATACAAATGTAAAACCTCCATTACCATACGAATTGTGGATGCCTCAAAAATTGGATAGATTAAGTGAAAAAAAAGGTACATGCTATTTGCAACAAGATGGCACTCTCTATGTTGTAGAATCTCTGCTAATATACAACACAGCTTTATGATAGCCTGGAAGCTTATAACTGTATTATTTACCTATTACTTACCTCTCTCTGTTCTAGAGTCTCTGCTAATATACTACGCAGCTTTATGATAGCCTGGAACCCTATAACTGTATTATTTACCTATATAAATATATATTATAGATAGATATATATACGTATACCATATCTTTTAAATTAAAGCCGGTTTCATAAGTAATAAATATTAATTTCATAGTCAACTTCATTTTAGTTTAAGAAAATATTTCAAAAATTTAGTTTAATTTTAATAAAATAAAAATTATTATTTGATAGCAGATGGTAGACTTGAGATTCTTACAAAATTTAAAATTCTTTACAAATTTTTTAATTTTTATATATTACTAACTAGAGTATTTTTATTATAGTAGCAATATTACACTTATTAGAAGCAAGAAAGTTGCCACAATATGTGCATTTTATATATAAATACAGAAACTAAATAAATAAAAATAGAAATAGAAAAATACTGTATGAAGCTTTTAAATGATTCACAAGAAAACCTATGACAGGCAGGTGTCTTTAAGATTGCTGAACTAATCCGATTGTAACGGGTAGCAAAATTAGTTAACACATTAACACCCATTTACCAGGTCTCTCAACTAAAATATAGCAATCTTACATTTACAAGTAAATTACAATTAATTAAACTAATAAACATTGTAAACGAATCAAGTTTTTAAAAAATATAACAGTCATATATGTATAACATTATCAGTGCTAGGCAAAACCTAGCAAAGTAAAACCTTCGAAGATTTGTGAAGAGCCTTTAAAAACTAATGCCCAGTGCATTAAACCCATAAGCTATAGTAACACAAATACATTAATCATAATATGTCCTTGTCTATTATGAAAATGAATAATATAATATCTAATGCTACAAATTATAATATAGAAGATTACTAAATGTACTAAAGTTTTGCAATTATTACTGTACAATTGTGAAAATAATTTTCCGGCATGACTGAACATTTTGTTTTTGAAATCCATTTATTTTATTACAATCTGTCAGGTATAAATGACAATAAGTAATATATATAAATATAAATCGTAATAATAGTTATTACGATCTAAAGAAAGGCGCGTATGGACTATGCCCAGTGACATATCCATATATATTTAAAATAGAAGTGTGTGACCTATATATACATATCTAAAATGTCTCTCGATGTTTGCCTTCTCAGCCTTGTAAAAGTGTTGAAAGGGGACATCAGGTATGTAACCAGAGGGTTTGGGTGCATATATATGCGATGAGCGTAATTCTTTAAAATACTAGCTATTAGTTCCTTGATTGTCCAAACATGTAATTGTTTATGCAGCTATGACTGAACATGCTTGCGTTAATTGGAATAAAATGGAATATTGCAGTTGATTCAAAAAAACTATTGATAAATAAATCGAATTTTCTTCGGTTTTTAACCTGTAACTCCCTATCAAAGTAAATTTCTAGCTACGAGACTGTGAATAGCATTTAATTACAATAGTGATAGTAAGTAAACATCGTTTGAAACTTTTTCATTGTGATATCAAATTAACACTTATAAAACAAGTGGAAGAGATTCAAAGATTTCACATTATATATCATAAATATTTCAGATAGAGATTTACATATCTTAAATACTTACTCTTCGGGTAAAGTTGGTGCACCTTCTTCTTGTCCAGGAGCGGTAACATGATAAACGCAAAAGTTCTCTAACAAACCACGCATAACTGGATAATTAAAGAAACCCGCAAAACTAGTGGCATCTAAAATATTATGATTAATTGTTATTAAAAAATTTGATGTTCAATTTTTTTTAAATATTTACAATTTAAGCCTAAATCATGATAAGTTACTATAGCTGGTTTCGATGTATCGCCTTGTATAGCAACAAGTATATCCCCTTTATCTGATGGTATACGTCGCTGATCACAAGCGTCAATAATTGAGCCACGTGCATTTGGGAATTGCAACTGAACTGAACGCAATTCTATATCATCCATTGGATCAACTGGCATGGTGCTGCGAAAACGATTAACAAACATTTTACAATATTCTATAAAATATCTCATTTTGAAAAATATATGTTATTCTCTTTTATTTGTTTATATTTTTAAGGACTTTTTTGTTTATTTATATAAAGTTATATATCTGTTGTACATATAATTTTTTTAGTTCTGAATTGAATAACTTTAAATTTTTACATTTTTGAATTTTTGAATTTTTAATTGACATTTTGATTGACAAAAGAAAAATTTTAAATCAAATATTTATAAATTTTAAATAGCTATCTTTATTGTTAAACAATTATTATTGTTTATTTATTAAACAAACACTATTGCTTAACTATTGAACAAAGTATAAAATTATCTATATATATTTTTTCATAGACTAAATTCAATATATAATATAAAATTTAATATAAAACAGTTAATATTTTTTAATGATTTGTTATTTTTTATCATATATAAATTTAAAATATTGTTTATTTATAGCATATTATTAATATTTTTTTTTATTTTTTCTTCAGAACTTTAATAATTTCAACAATGTATCAAACGTAGGCCATCTTAGATACTTTTAACGCCTATTTTATTACGTATGTCTAATGAGTAATTATTATTTTTTATATTCTGTTTTGAGCTGACGCCGCATATGGGTAGCTATAATTATGGAGAATATTAGCTTTTTTTGAAAATTAATACATATAAAAAATTATAAATAATAGAAATATTTTTACGTAAAATACTAAAATTTAAAACTTAAAAATTATTAAAATTATAAATTATAAATAATTGTAATTGGAAGCTACTGCACTATGCAAAAGTTTAACTATGGTCTTAGATAATTACGATGGATTTAATTGTTTAATTTGTGTCAATATATGTAAATATTACATATGCATAAATGCATTTAGTACGGATGTATGCAAAAGATCTATAGCTATGAGGTAGATGTGAAGGTGTTTCAATTTAAGTACTTTTAAATGTTCATACTAGTTTAGTAACTAAGCTAAAATTAATAATAATTGGTTAGAAGGATTGCTTATTACTAACAATATAAATTAAAAATATTTTAAAAAACTTAGTAAAATAAATCAAATTAAATCAAAATTCATTCAGAACAATTTAAAATAAATTAGTATTTAAAATATTTGTATGGTAACTGCTGGAGTGTTTGTACAAAAACTAAAATAGGATTTCGATTTATTGCGGTACACACTCTTTTATTTCTTACCCAAGTAGACGTGCCTCCTCGGCAGTGTGTGTTGGTGCTGATGGCATCTTCGTGTTCAGTGTCTTACCGATTTTGTCCCGGTCTCTGAAATAAATACTATAAACATGCAAGCAAAAACAAATCGATTTCGATTTTCCCCCATTAAAGATATCGTTAAGATACTGGCGAAAAATCGAATATTACATAAACTGAATAATCATAATATATATAAAATAAATTTAATAATCAAATATAATGCTTAATGCGTTTATTTGCTTAAATGTCTAAGAATTAAATTGGTTATGAGTATAAATTAAGCACAGAAAAATTAACGCAAAAATGACAAAAATAAATTAATATTTAATAAAATATTTAATAAAATTAAAATATTTAATATATTATATAAGTAAAAGTATAAATTAAAACTTTTATATACAAAACTACAACTAACACATTTACACTAGACAAACAGAATAAGGGCAAACAAATTGTTTTACATAAAGGAAACATGCTTAAAAGTTGCCACAACAAACTTACTAACAGCAGGCAACAATCAGAAAGAAACAATCATAAAATGGCAGGCAGCGAGCCATGTTTGCCTAAAAATGAGTCAGCCAGGAAGAGAATTACAATAATAACAATGGTCATAAAACTGAAGGCGCCATAAGTTCGCCATTCGAATTGGATGTAGAGAAATCCTTGTACGACAGCACAAGTCCCACCTACACTAATTGACACTTTAGCAATGGCATGAAATGAAAAGTGGAACTATAAGCATCTAAAATACTATATATGTATATATAACAATCCAATCAATAATTTTACATTAAAAAATTGGTATGAATGTTATACGCATTGCATTATGTATATACTTAAGCTTATAATTGAGCTGAGATATATTAGCTACATTTGTACGAAAAAAGTACACAAATATTATACACTATACATATTTATATTCAAATAGTATATTATATCGAAAAATTCTGTTTAAAACGTAATTAGCTATATTTCAATTAGAAAATTACATAAAATTTGTAATTTAAAATGCATTTAAGATATATTCAAAAACACGATTTATACATTTTTTAAACAATAAAAAACTATTATACTGGAATATCATAAAAACTTTAAAAAATAAATTCGTTGAAAAATCTATCTACAATTTACAATCTCTATAATAAATAAAATTTAATACCTGCATATTTTCTTTACATTGAACCCATTTTTAAAGATTTGAGAATGTACTCTGAAAATTAGTGACTTGTTTCGAAAATTTGTTAACTCCCTAATTGAAGTACATAACAAAAAATAAGGCAATATGTACAAAAGATTGAAACTACATCCCAACTCGCCAATTGAACCTAATAAGTAGAGCTTTGGATTTACACGTTTCAACATAATTACGTTATGGTAAGACGTGAGATCCTAGGTTCCAGAAGGAGCTCAGGAAATCAGTAATAGTAGTAGTACGAAGTCATTAACAAATCTGACGGACGCAGCACCAACCTTCATTATATTTATGTCGATCATATAATTAATCAATTAATTACGGTCCAATGTTCCCCTAGAAACGCAATGGAATGAAGAAGAAGATATAATTAACCCTGACACCCTAAAAGCTACATAGGGTTACTATAGCATCATTCGTCGAATCATGCTATTGATATATTATTTGTGATTAGGTCAGTTTTAAAAAGTGTATATATAGAAATTCCAACAGATTACCTATATTACATTACATTACTTCAGAGCAAATTACTTTTATAGTTGTGAACTCTTTTTTTAAATTTATTATGAAGTTTCATTTATATGTCAGATATTATTAAGAATACCTCATCGAGCTGTCAGGTATTTTATCTGTTTAGGGACAGTCATTAATAATAACAAATATATCCGCTTAAAGATCTCACTGAGAACTTCTTTTGCTATGACCACCAAGTGTGATGTGATATGTAACTGACGATATTACATCAAATTAATTTATGTAATGTGTTTAATTAGAAATAGTATTTAATTAAAAACAGAATTTATTTAGATCATATCATATATAATGTATATATCCAGCACTGGCGAGCAGGAGGATAATTGTCTTGGGACACGATTGGGTTGGTGATGACTTGGCAGCCCATCTCAATCCCAATGAACTGCTTGCAATAACAAGAGTTGTAGTTATGCGAAAGGACGCACCTTTAACTTTAACTTAATAACGACGTAAAAGAATCCAAGTTGTTTCGTGGTCTACATCGGCTAATCCTTCACTTCAGTGGGACCACTTGATAGCCGGTGCGCTGTCCCATTGTCCCACAATGTATATATATATATGATCACATCCCCCATTGTAATAATACTGTTTTTAAAAATGAATCACAGTAAATATTTAAAATATTGTTAAGGAAGACTTCTTATATTTCACAACAATAGCAATATAATACGTTTTTTTTCTAATTCGTGAACTCTATTTTGGAAAAAGTGTTTTATACCAATCCAAGAATATGAGATGAGTAATATAAAATGACTAATAGACTTAAAAAAAGAAAACGTAATAAAAACGAAAGCATTTAATTACATAAAAAGATATTATGTATCTATATGAATCTATAATAACAATGCACTGTTTACGTAGTAACAACCAAAACAAAATTTAAAAAAAATCAATTTTAATTGAATATTAAAATACGAATATCATAAATGAATTACGCTCAATTGATTTTAAAAATTTACTATACAAAACTATTTGATACACACGCATTATATTGTATATTAGTAGATACTTATACAGAACTTTTTTTTTATGTTTTAGTACCGAAATTTTCCATTCATTTCGTAGTAGACCGTAATGTCCCATAAAGTAAATAAATTTTCAACAGCTGATAGGGATTTATATATTTTTAAATTCAAAGTTGAGAGTTAATAGTAAAACAATTGCAAATCAACTTTTGAAAACAATTAAATAAAATATAAATACAAGAAATTAACTAAGATAATTATTCATTAATCATAAAAGGCGTTTTTAAATGATAATAACAACAAACAATATGAATATAAACACTGAAAATATTTAAACATGTTCATTCTGGTTCATACCAAACACATTCTGGATTTAACCGGATAGTTTGATGTACTACGTATGAACTCAAGACGATATATTAACCCAATCCGCTTAAGAAATGTACGTAAGCGTTCAAGATAACTCAATCTTATTCGACTTCGAATGGTTGAAAATAAAATTGTTATAAAAACAATTCAGAAACCGGTTGAAAGCGCGGCAGTTTATAGGCCATAGAAAAGGTTCTCTCTATAAACAATTCATAATAACAAAACACGGTAGTACGCAACATATTCTCTGATCTCCGTGTTATTTTTTTTTTTGTTGTTGCGTTCATTAACAAATAAACAAACTATAACTGAAATATCGATTTTACATGTAATTGATTAAACTGAATACGTCACTACAAGCTGAATGAATAGACAACATTTCGGAATATATAATGCACTGTGTACACAACATTAGATGCAAATTAAAAAAAAATTTAAATTTATAATGCAATGAAGCACGTTTCATATTTTATAAAGATAAATTATTCTGACGAGTAGTGCAAACGAGGCAAATCAATAAGTCAATACCAATATAGACTTTAACAACATGTCATGATATATTGAAGTAGATGTGGAACTAAAACTAAATCGGATATTATGCCCCTTTTGAATAAAAAGCTTCAATGGAAGTGAAATCAAAGAAGAAACTATACCTACAATTCATACAAAATTATATACGCAGAATGCTTCCTTTTCTTGCTAAATGGAATAACTATATAGATTCGAAAAACAAAAAAAAATTTAAGGCAGGACAGAAGAGTATTGTCTGGCATTTCTTCGCCTAAGAAATGAAAAGAAATCTACAAGAGGGATAAAGAACATAAAATATTCTTGAAAAATGGACTTATTTTATTTATCTCATAGGAATATTATATAGGAGAATTACAAACAGATAATTATATAAACATATACATAAATATTTAAAAATCTTGTGTATTTGAAAAGAATATTGCATCAAAATTCAACACATTCATGTAACCCGCGTGAACGTGCTTGTCAAATCCTTTTGGGGCCTGTTGAACGGCACTTGATCGCCGAAATTGACAAGTGGTTCCGGGACATAGACGCAGCCGTTTGTGGCATAAGCATTGCGCTTTTATGACTAAGTTTTGGGCATACATTAAGAATATGAGTCACAATCTGCTTCGAATGACTATATGGACACTCTAAATCGCTTTTAGATTTTTGTTTTGTCATTTCTTTGTTGGTTTTGTTATTGAAATGCGCAGTATTTTTAGATTAGTTAGGTGGTCATTTAATAAGAAAAATGAATTGAGTTTTTCAGAGTAAACCTATCTGTAATCAAATCAGTTTTCTGTTAATTTAAATCCCGGACTCGTAAATGAAATTAATTTTATAGTCGATGAAACAAAAAAAAATCTGCTGGAATAGAATAGAAACACAATATTTCCTGGCATAGTGGTATTATTTTCTTGTTATCAACATTTTTAAAAAAATTATAAAAGAAAATTTCTGATCTAAAAAAAAAAAGAAATTTTATAAAAGAATGAGAGAGAGAGGAAGTAACAGTATTAATTGAAACAGTATCAATGTACATGATTTATAATAGAGTTCTTAAATGAAATTTTATCTCATAAGAAATTCTCAGATATAACAATATTAATATTTCAAAAACAATTTATCTTAAATGTATATTTAATATAAATTTTATAAAAAAAAACTTATTACAAAAACGTTCACTTATTTATCTCGAATAAAGTTATTCCTTTTAGAAGAAACTTCGAAAAGTTCTCTCTTCAGGCTATTATGAAATTTAGACAAATTTTTTATAAAAATTATTTAAAAAATGAAAATTTCATAAGGAAAATTACAGAATATTTAAAAATAACTAACCCGAGCTTCGCTTCCTTAATTCCAAACCATAGGTATAATATTATAAAATGTTAACATTAAATCCAAGTTTTTTTTAAATAAGCTTTTGGTATATGATATTTTGGATGTTTTTTGGGTACTTCTTTTCTTTTTTTCTTTTTAATATTTTTAGTTTG